CAGCATGTACGCTCATCAGTGAGGACACTTTTCGCGCTACTTGGCGTGAGAACGCGCCAGCTCTCCAGCAAGACGACACGCAGCTGAGAACGTGGTCCAGACATTCCCTTCCACTTCTGGGCTGTGCCAACGTAGACGTGTACTACAACGGGCAGACCCATCAGCTCCCCTTGCTAGTCAGTCGTCCACGGTTCTGGATCAAGCCTTTTAGGACGAAATTGGTTCACCCCCCTTGGAGTGGTCATTGGCGGAGTTCACCACACACCCAGTTATCCGTCAGTGGAGCAGCTTCAAGATAAGTACAAAGCGGTTTCCTCCGAAAAAATACCAGGGAACAACGGACTTCCAGTCACACTGGAGCTGCGGGAGGATGCGACGCCGAAATTTTTGAAAGCTAGGTCGGTGCCTTTCGCCCTACGAACGTCAGTCGAGAATGAGCTTGACCGACTGCAGGAACAAGGGATCATCGAACCGACGCAACATTCGGAATGGGCTACACCACTCGTCGTCCGAAAGAAGAACGGTACCCTACGCCTCTGCGGAGACTACCGGAGCACTGTCAACCTGGCGACAAAAGCATCTTCCTACCCACTGCCGACACCGGAAGAGGTTTTTAGCATGCTTCGTGGTGGAAAAATCTTCAGCACCTTGGACTTGACACAAGCCTATCAGCAGGTGAAGGTGAGCGAATCAACGTCTGAACTGCTCACGATAAACACTATTAAGTGTCTTTACAAAGTTAAAAGGCTACTATTCGAAATATCTGCAGTGCCAGCAATCTTCTAGAAATTTATGGAGTCTACACTTAGCGGGATCCCAGGTGTTTGCGTCTACTTGGACGATGTTATTGTCGGTGGCGCCTCCAATGAAGAGCACACAGAACGCTTGGAGCTCATTTTGGAAAGGCTAGCAAATGCTAATTTGCGGATCAGTAAAGAAAACTGTGTTTTTGCGGTGCCTGAAGTGAAGTTTCTTGGACATCAAATTGACGCGCAGGGTATCCATCCCACTGAAGACAAAGTGCGTGCAATCACCGAAGCACGAGCGCCTACTAACAAGCAAGAACTGCAGTCGTTTTTAGGGCTATTGACGTTCTACGACCGGTTCTTAGAACATCGAGCTACAGTGGCCAACGATCTATATCAGCTCTTACAGAAAGAAGTCCCATGGACTTGGTCGCCACGCCACCAAAAGTCATTTGTGGCCCTTAAGCAACTACTTCGCAAGTCTACTGTTCTGCGACACTACGACGAAAGGAGACCCCTACTGCTAGCCTGTGACGCATCACCATACGGAGTGGGAGCAGTCCTCTCCCAAGTTGACGACCAGGGACGGGAAGCCCCGATCGCTTTTGCTTCGCGCACCCTATCGCAGGCAGAAAGGAATTATTCCCAGCTAGATAAAGAGGGACTTGCCATCGTCTACGCAGCAGATCATTTTCGGCAGTACATTACCGGCAGGAAAGTGACTTTCATAACAGATCACCGGCCCTTATTGGGTAATGTGGGTCCCCAGAAGCCAATGCCACAGACATTGTCACCGTGGATGACACGATGGTGCATCAAGATGCCGGCATACGATTACGAACTCGTATATCGCACGGGGAAGAAACACCAGAACGCCGACGCACTAAGCCGCCTGCCGCTAGACACCACAATAGATGAACCACCCCCTGCCGGGTGATATACTCATGTTCGAGGCGCTGCCGAACGCTCCGCTAACACCTGACACGGTAGCAGCATCAACGCAGGAGTGCACTGTCTTGAAGGAAGTCTATGCAGCTATACAAGAAGGCAACGTGCAGAAGCTAAAGGGTGAACATTTCAACGCTTACCGCAAGCGAGCTGCGGAGTTGAGCACTCATCGCGGTTGCGTCACCTTGGGATCAAGAGTTGTAATTCCAGCGGCACTTCGCGAACAGGCCATGTCGCTTGTCCACGCAGGTCATCGAGGCATTTTTGCCATGAAAAAGTGCGCCAGAAGTTATATGTGGTGGCCTGGTATCTACCATGATATAGAATTAACAGTTCACGATTGCCAGCCTTGCCAATGCAACCACAGAAGCCCGCCAAGAGCCCCTATTCCTGTAAGGGAAAGACCAGACACGTTTTGGCACACCCTGCACATTGATTTTGCTGAACCTATCGAAGGGTGTTCGTTCCTGGTGGTTGTAGACGCATACACCAAGTGGCTGGAGGTAAAACAAATGGCTACAACGACATCGGCAGCAGTTATCGACACTCTGCGGTCATTATTTGCAACGTTTGGCCTACCGCGCAAAGTGGTCTCGGACAACGGCACTCCGTTTGTGTCCACGGAGATTCTCAAGTTTTACAGCGACAACGGCGTCTCGTCTGTTAGATCAGCTCCTTACCACCCGGCTATGAACGAACATGCCGAGCGCTACGTGGCTGAGCTAAAGCGCGCCCTTACTAAAGACCAGACTGGGACAATGCAACGCCGCGTCGCGCGCTTTCTCTTCAGACAGTACAACACTGTTCAAAGCACTACTGATCAAACGCCAGCGAAATTGATGTTCGGACGAGAAATGAGAACCCAGCTGACAGCAATTGTCCCGGAGCCCTCAGCGAAAGCACCGTCGGAGGAAGAAAAGCTCCCGCATAGCAGGAGGATTGAAAGTGGACAGCGCATATACGCCCGCCAGTTCCACAGAAAGCCCGGCTGGGTTGAAGCGACGGCACTCAAACGCATAGGTTTGTGGTCATGGCTCGTCGACATTGGTGGAAAGGCCACACGCCGCCACCTTAATCAGCTACGCCGTTCAGGTAATTTGCCAAGGGAACCTCCCATTCGAGCAGCCACCTCGACGGTAGCTTCGTTCCACTTAGCCTGGCATCTCGCACCAGATGAACTGGCGCCGCCGCCCGCCGGCCCTGAACACAAGGGAAACGACACCCAGCGAGCGGAGGCTTCTCTTCCTAGTGCGTCCAGAGCGTCCACGTGCCCACGGCGGCCCCCAGATCGCTTCCAAGCGACAATCTAAGGAGGGAGGAGATGTTGTGTTCCAAGCACCCCTGTGTCACGAGCGAGCCTCCGAACCCGCGAAGGACCGGATGCTGAAACTGCTTTCAGATGTTGACTCCTCCCCTTCCCCCTGCTCGGCGCAAACGAGCCACCGTCGTTTCCCCCGCAGTTCGGCCGCCGCCTCCACCCGAATAGGAATAAACTTGTTTTTAACCGTTCGAGGCTGTCTGAGCTTTTTGGACTACCGCGACCTACGCGTACGTCTTTGGGCCGACGACAACACCGGACATAACAGAGCATAAGGTGTTTTTAAAAGTATTTTTATTTTTATAGTCTCATTGGATTTAGAGTGAAGACAACTTTTGTTGGATTATCTCTGGTCTTGCTGCTCATGTCAGCTGTGGTGTTTTATTAGTATGGACATTTTTCATTTGTCTGAGATCTAGCCCTATGCAAAAGCATTGCTTTTCTTTTGGTTTCTCTGGATTACCCCTCTTTCAAACGTCATATCTTAATGATGGGAACATACACATATTTTTTGTGGTAATTGTTGTTTCTTGTGATTCTGATGGGTTCATTGATATTGAATGCGCCAAAAAGCACTGGAATTTCTTGTTTTCCAAAAGTATAAAAGACATTTGAACTAGTGATGATGTTTCATTGCAGACACCTGCTCCGAAACTAACTTGGATTGCTTTGAAACGCACCTTTCGATGCTCGATAGCAGGACCGAATCTGAGCTGCAGCAGCCGCATTTTTGGTGGAGTTGAGATGCTAGAGGATGATGTACATGGAATTATTTGCTCATTAAAGAAGCTCATTAAAGTTAGAGATTTCCAGAACCCTCCATTACAGCGCTCTCCATAATCGTACTATGGCTTTGGAATGTTAAGCTTTGACAAATAAGAATTTCTGCATCTCAGTGGCATCTCTCATAGCTCAGGTGTTGTTGTCTTGGGATCCAGCAAATCCACCCTGTTAATTATGCGGAGGGTCAGTGAATTTCGGTTTGAACTCGAAGCATTTGAGCAGGTTCTGTGTGGGTGAAGCTCAAGCATCGCGGTGGAAATTGCCACGATTTTTAAAAAGTGGCCCCAGAGAAATGCCTTCACATCTGAGCGATTTAGAACAGTAAAATTTAGGTACAAGACAATGTACAGTAAAATAGCAGCAGAAAGGAAAGTGACCCTCAGTGGGGCTGTGAGCAGTAGTGCGGTAGTGGCAAGCTTTCCTAGTAGCAAAAGACATCGCTGGCTCTCCAGGCCACTCCTTTTGTCCCTTGTCCTTCTCGCCTGATCACTGCTCATTGCCTACGGTCATTGCCTACGGCCAAACCGGACAGGCGGGAGAAAGGGAAGGCAGGCAGCTGTTTTGGCCGCTCCAGCTGGGGAATTCCGACATGGAAAAAAGGGGTGATGTCATACAGAGCGTCACCCTACACGGTCTATTATGAAAGAAATGAGCGTGATTTTATTGTGAAACGACTATCCGTGGCAGCATGGCGAAACCAGTTGGGCCATGCTGTGGAGGATCTGCCCATCTAACACTGCTGAACGCTGGTTTACTCTGAGCAGTGTGAGCCAAAACAAATGCTGAAAAAATTAAAATGCCATGTTGTGCATCTGCAAGCTGATGTCAAAGGTACTCCATCATGACAATGGCCCCAGCCACAGACCCTTCGTCATTACCAACTTCCCAACCCAGTGGCCCCCGATTCCCCGTACAGTCTTGACTGACCTTCATGCTTTCCCAGCTGACAAGAGAGCTTAAAAGGAAGCATAGGGAGTTCGCGGAAAAGATGCAAAAGCATGTTACAAAATTTCTGAGACACATTCTCGTGGAGTGATTTCAGGGCACCTTCCAGGCATGGCATACACATCTCCACAAGTGCATAGATGCAGGTTGGGAGAGTATTTTAAAGAATTTTAATTCTTTCTGCAGGTCTGATCAGTTAATATAGTTTTCTCAGAAAGCGGGCATGAATTTAATTAATGTACCCTGTACGTTCTGAACAGGCAGCTGCTGATGGAGGAGGCGGCAGTGGACTATCTGGCGGCCATGTGCGATGGGGATGCCCGCACCGCCCTCAACTCACTCCAGACAGCTGTAGAGGCACACCGCAGCATGGCTGAAGGACAGCTCATCACCGCCAAGAGCATCAAGGAAGGCCTCAAAAGGACACACTTCCACTATGACCGAGCAGGTACTACGGGCATCTGTTGAGGGCTGTGTTTACAACATACTACATTAACTGTGGTTTGTACATACTGCTGATTCTTTATGAGAAGTACAGTCGAACCACGCTACAATGAACGCCGCTTCAACGAAATTCCCGCTACAACAAAAAATTTACGGTTCCCCGTCAGCACTCCATAGGAGCCAATGCGTAAATATTGTTGCCACAACGAACACTTTTTCTTCTGCCCTTCCGCTTCAACGGAATTTCATGATGCAATTCCAAGCTCAGGTATTTATTGCTATACAATAAACCTAATCTTAAATATTTTGATGCATTTTCGGAACCTGAAAATACGTCGACAACAGCAGAAGCAGGGCAGTCTCATTGCCATCGCTATCAAGCTATCGTGGCGCCCATGCTTGCTGAACAGCAATGGTTTCTGGTGGTGCCAACGCGTGTTTTAGACTTCGTCGACGTAATTCCAGGTTCTGAAAATGCATCAAAATGTTAAGCGTTGGGTTTACTGTATAGCCGCAGACGACCCGAAGCTGAATCTCAGTTGCGTAGTTTATGTATGGTGGCTAGAAACAAAGGTGTCAGCATCAGCGCTCTGGAGAGTGAGCGAGAATTCATCCGGATGCGGCGGTGCTGCCGCTTTCAAGGTGCCCCTCCTCACGCGCACGCGTATTAGTCGTTTTTTGTTGCAAATATTTGATGCTATCCTGCGGATTGCAATAAAGTCTGCCTGTCACAATTCTGGCGGTGCGCTGCAAAGCGTGTATTGGCACTGAAAACTAGTGTTTTCAATTCACGTTGTAGTATATCAGCTACGAAGCCCAAGAGATAGAGTATCAAGTGACTTGCCGTGAGCTTGACACCAAAACAAAGTCCGTGCAGTTTTCACTTTGATGCCGCAGTGTTCTCCGTGAAGTCTCAATGCACATAAAGGTATCGGCAACCGTTATTTTTATGACTTGTGCAATCAAGGTATAATTTTACAAGCAAGCCATTTATTTTCACGAAAGCGGAAAAACAACATGAAAATAAACACGACATATGCATTAAGGTTGGAGAGAACTGCAAGTTAAATGAAACTCAACTAAAGCAAGTGAATAAGGCAACTAAAGAGAACAGTAAATATACGATGATACAATGGGCATCCATACACACATGACATTAAGATTTGATTGGCAAACATAGATACAGTAACAAAACAGTTCACGAAAAAATTGATTTCTGCGTATGTGAAACGCAGCCAGACAGTGACATCCAGTTGTTAATGGAAGCTTTGTAACAATGTGAACAAGACAATAGTAAATTAACAAGAAACAACACAGTGTGAGTAATGCACAATAACAAAAATAAAACCTTGTTCGCTGAGTTAATACTATGACAGTTAAGTCATACGCCTCAACTTCAAAAACTTCGTTTTTTCTCTCTCTTTTTTTGATTTGACGCATTTTCTCCAGCAACGAGAAAATGAATTCTCGTCAGTGTAAAGAATCTAACTATTTGGTTTATCACTTCCGGCTCGTGGTGTTCACATCCAACCATATTTAACCTTTTCATAGACAAGCAAGAAATAAGGTCTGTTATGCTGTCACTTTTCAACTTGTTGAAACTGAAGCAATAGGTGATTGCACCTTCCACAGCTTTGACCAGGTCTGTTAAGGACTCGGACGGGTACAGAAGGCATGATTCTGCCTTAAGGAAGCTGGAATTCTCAGAGTGAAGCAACAACTTGCTACATTCGTTGCGCTTCGTCTTTTTCACCATCTTCCGGGCCACATAACCAGTGACGTAATAAGTTATCCGGGAGTCACATTTGCGTCCAATGAGATCAGTGTGGTGAGGGAGGGCTTCACAAGCAACAATCATTTCATGAACCTCCTTTAAGCGCCCCACATCTAGCAACTCATCCAGCTTATTCTGCAATTTTATTGAATTATTGTGGATGCCCGGACATAGAAGGCCGCTCAGAACTCCAGAAGGTTTGTTTACACTGGAGGGTGACTGTGTCAAACTGTAAAACTGTGGCAATTCACAGAAATCAAAAATTGTGTCGGCATAGGGTGATTATTCGAGCCAGGCATTTGCTTCAGAATTCCAAAAACGATTTTAAGCACGTCTTGGCAGAGGCAAGACATCATCAAGTATTTATAGCCCAAGGTTTTCGTGACATAGTGCCGAATGGAAAGGGTGCTGGTTAGAGTGACGCGGAGTCCTGTTGATTCACTTAGGAACCCACCCTCCTTAGGTACAGCTTTTTCCAAAGTTGCTAAGAACCTATTGATAACGTGCTTGTAGCTACGGACGATGAATCTTTCGTCGAAATGAGCTTAGCACACAACGCAGTTCTTTTTCAGTGGTTTATCATCACGAGAAATCGCACGCTCCGAGGCCTTGCGCCGCTCATCGTTGGCAGGTGCAGGGAAGAGAGACGCTTTATTTCCTTGTGCGGGCCGAAACATATCCCGCATTGCATCCAGGTGCAAAGCAGTGTCCTTGCTGTTTCTCCATCAATATGGCATGGTCACATTGGCCCTTGGCATGGTCAGCCATTGGCATGGTCACGTTGGCATGGTCACATGGTCACACGTCCAAATAGGCAAAGAGCAGACGTTGCAACTTGCGAGCACACGATCAAGCGACTAAAAGAGCCGCGCTAGCGGCTGGCGAGTCTTCTCGACCGGTCAGACTTGCACGCCACTCCGCGGCAAAATTGAAATACCAGCACGCCTCCTTTCAAGGCGCGGTCGGGATGATGCTGACACCTCTCGTTCTAGCCACCATAGTTCATGGTTTCCTTCGCGCAGTTGCTGGGCGCATCTGCGGAACGATGCTGTTTCGAATTCTAATGCCTATCATTTTTTTCGCGCTTTGCCAGTGTAGTGACTAATCAGAGCGGATGTTCGTCCGCATTATCAACAAAATCAGCTAGCCGCGAAAAATTGATGATAAGAATGGCATAAAATAAGGCAAAAGTCACCGGTCCACGATACCCTTCTGCCATCTCGGCATTTTGACGGCGGACAGCTGCTGTTGTTAACGTGTAATGCAACTGTTTGGTTCATTCACGAAAGCGGTTGTAGTCATTGTTTCAGCGTGCTTTTCACCATGACCTCACTATGCATGGGTGAGAATCGTGTCGTGACGCTGCTGGGATAGAATAAAAAGAAGCGGACATTTATTGAATTTTGAGATCAAAGGTTCTTTCGTTTTCCTAGTTCAGATCCGCTATATTTTCTCGATTTCACAACCAAATTTTCGCTTCAACGAAATTTTTTTTGCGCCCCTTCAATTTCGTTGTAGCGGGGTTTGACTGTATTGGCACCACATGCACAAGTCAAAACTGATTAATTTTAAATGCAAACAAGCTTGTGCTTTCTAATTTTAAGCTAGTCCCTCCCTGCAAATCATCCCTGTAGTAATAACTAGCATCATTACTCCTCTACCTTTTACCTCCACAGTATCTTTGTAAAGTTGAAGAAGATTTGTGCAGTATCACAAAAACATAATCAATAATATTGCCTCAGATATCGTATTTCTATGTGCAAGTAAATGCTTGGGAAGGTTGGAGACAGTTGCCACTTGAAGAGTATGCAGGCCAGTTTTCTTGGGTGAAGGAGCATGAAGATCTCTGCGCATTGGGAGGAGGGGCAGCAGTTGCGAGCTTTGATTGAAAGCGCATGGTCGTGTCCACTGACTTGCATACGTTCTTGACAGAGGTCAGTACACAGCTCCTACCCTTTTACTTTTTTGTTCCCTGTTGCGACTCCGGGTTCTACGGGTCTCAGTTTTGGTAGTACTCGTACTAACGACAACAATTTATTTACATGGTTGAGGAGCTCAGAAATGAGCTCGGGGAAGTCGGCCTCGAGGGCTTTAGCTGAAGGTCTCGTTCTGGACGAAGCTTGCTGAAGGAATGCAGAACTGAACTGAAGAACTGAAAATATACGAAAGGTCTTCCGCTTATATAGTGGCCCATTGTACGCGGCTTCAGCCAATACGCCGCTCGATAGTCAAGTGCTCCACCCACGAAGGCAGGGAAAGACACCACAAAATGCACGTGGAGAGGGCACAGTCTAAAACGATGCCCAATAATGGTCACAAACACACCACACCACATTTTGCACCCATCACCAACATTTTGCGCACGTCCAATGATCCTAGATGACCGGAGTTCCAAGAATTCTCTCGAAGATTAAGGTAGTTTTCGAAAAGCCCGGCTCCTGGTACATGTGCTAAACTTACCTGTCTGCGTTCGGGTAGGACAATGTAGCGGCTTGACAGCTTCTCGTCAAACATGCCACTCTATTTAGCTGATGCTATTGAAAGAGGGGGAATGAGGAGAGGTTCACTAATCTCTCGTCGTTTGCTAGATGTCACTGCTTAAAATCGGCAAATCCCCGAGACCTCGCTTCTCCTCGAAAGGTAAAGCTACAACCCATTTGGGTTTAAGCTTCCAGCCCATACAGCAAATACCATGCTGCTTCAGGTCTCTCCAAATGTACGATGGCTTTAAAAATTGCCCATGTGCCTCCTTGTTGATGGGAAAGCCTTTTTGACAATGGCCTTTTCTGTCTCGTGCGTTTTATTTGCGCCAAACCGGTCCTGGCACACCTTTGTTCACTCTTGACAGAAAGGAAATCAGCCCGTCTCAACGGCCCATCCTTGCTTATAGCATGCGTCTAAAACATTTAGTCCGGTTTCTAACTGACGAAAGAACTTCTACAAGGATGATGGTCGTAACAGCCCTCATAGCTTACTTCCCTTTGAAGCAACAGACACCACGAGAACTGCTTTGTTGACTGGAGCAGCTGTATTCCTTTGCACCAGAAGTGAGTGGAGCTATGCCAGATCAGGGGCTAAAGGAGTTAGCTGCTAGCCTTACTTTGTATAACATTCCAGTATGTTGCTGTGGAATCTATGGGTTCACCCTTGCAGAATATTGTTACTTTTTAGAGTCAAGTGTCCAATATTACCTAGACACCAATTTAAGGGACACAAAAGGCAAATAAGAATTCGTCAGAGTGAAAGCTCAATGTATGAGAATGCCTATATATGGCAATCTTAGCAACAGCAGTGCCTTACTTACCAAGAAATTAGTCTAAATGTACCACACAACGTGCGCCATGAGTTGGACATTCCCAAAGTGATCCTGATGAGGTCAGAGTTACCACTTACAATCAATCACTAGTAATCGAACTAGCTGCACTGAATAAATATCCTTCTGTGCATAAAGAGACATAATGAAAAGCTGCTTGTCCGTTCCTGTTTGATTTAAAGGAAAAAAAAAACGCCTGTTGTTACTGTGGGGAATGGCGCAAGTGGTTCAAAAGGTCAGTTTTTCACTGCTTAAGCTAGATAGGTGGTGCCGCAGTTGAACCAAGCGAGCAGAATTAAGGCTTACAAGGTTGCATAACATTTTTCAATGGCTGTTGTTGCTACTGTAGTTCCCACTACTATCGCTCTGCTGCTACTTGTGTCGAGGGTTATAAAGTAAAGATAGGCAACTTTGGGCACAGAAACAGTAAAGTCCGCTTTCACGCACAGGTGATTTGAAGTGTGGTAACGTGATACAGACCATTAAAACGTGATTTTATTTCAAAATAAGCACTTTCTTGGCTCAAATCTAGTGCTACAAGGTTTCTAGACTGCTGTTTCAACAATTGAAGTCGACTTGTGAGTGTCCCTTCAATCTTATTTCATGCCTAAAGCAAATGTAGTTTAGAGTCAAGTGTGGTGCACTTTAAAGCGACATATTTTACAGCCAACTGCGTGTACCCTACTACAATTTAAATCCTGCTACTAGGACTTGGATTCGCTTCAATATTATTTTTGATAATTTCCAATTGCTAAGGCTTTGCTTAGAGTCGGAAAAGGTGAGATTTCGCGCAAGCTTAATGAAGACACTTGTGCATGTAGTATGTTATAGCAGAGCTCACATCTGAACCATTTTGCAGGTGATCAGCACTATGACATCATCTCTGCTTTCATCAAGTCTATGCGAGGTGGTGATGCCAATGCAGCCCTCTACTACATGGCACGCATGCTGGCCGGAGGCGAGGACCCACTCTTCATTGCACGCAGGCTCGTCATCTTTGCTAGTGAGGACATTGGTGAGCTGTTTTCGGAGGAGGCATTTAAAGGGGGATGCGCCCTTTGAAAACCGAAATATTGCGAAAAATTCAATATTTTGAAAACCACATATTCGGGTAGTATGTCTTATAAACTGTTTGTTCTGTAAATATGAATGTTTAACTCATTGCGAAAGTACGTCAAACAAATTATATAACGTGGCGCGGCAGCAGGCGCTGAAAATACGCCAACTTCGCGCTGTTTCTCAACCACACAGCTCAGTGCCGCCATCTTGGTCTTGTTTTGCTTGTGAATTTGTTTTTTTTTTTTTGCCCCTCGCAAAAAAAAGCAGCGGCGTGGCCGCGCGGGAACCACTTATAATTGGAGGGACTCTCGAAGTTTTGAAGCCTCCCGCGGCTCGGATGCGAAGCCGCTATTGGAATAAGCGCGCGCCTCTTGAGGGAGTGGGTGATCACGCAGCTCCTATTTGCTGCTGTGCGCAATGATGCATCTTTCCGCCTCTCCCCGGCTCGTCATCTGCTCCGTCGCCGGCCTTGCAAGCGTCGGTGTTCCCTTGGCGTGTGTTGTTTTCCCATTTGCCATCATTTCGCTCGGTTCTCACGCGCTCTTCAATCTTTCACCGTTTCAAGACCACAACTGCATTTATGCTTATCGCGACATCGAGAATCGGCGCAACGCTCCGTTGTCACAAGTGAGGCTGGTGTTGGCGTTTCGTGCCTAAGTGGGCCTGGTGCATTGCGCACGCTAACTGCAGTGATTACAGCCCTGAACAGTGCTACCGCGTCGTCGACTGTGCATTTGCCAACACGTTTTTGGACGTGCAAGGAGTTAGCCGCGGAGGATAGTGAACGTGTTGTTGTGCAACCAAGCAAAGCCCTGGGCTATGTCGGCAACTGACGCCGCTATGCCGGCAACTGACGACGCTATGCTGGCAACCACCGGGCAGCGGAAAAACAAAGAATGACTCTTTTCGTGTGAAAAAGGCTCAAGAACTGCTGCAACACGAGCAGGAAAAGCAGAAAAGGAAAAAAGTTACAAAGAACATTCCTAGCTACTTTGCAGAGTCATTTTAGACCAAAATACTTGTTCGAAACTTTCGAAGTCCATTTTCTCAGAAGGACTTTTTTTGGCCAGTGAGGCTCTTTAGTCTGGTGATATCTCTGCAACCGCTAATCTGATTTCCATCAGACTGGTTTTATTATGTACCCCAATACATAGCCTACACACTGACAGAGCTGTTTTATAAATTTATTGCATCTGTAATTTGTTATAATTATTAAAATTTTATTGATAACTGCTCAATGGCAAACACCAAATTCAGTGCTCTGTTAAAAGTTTTCTGCAAGGAACTTAAAAAAAATGGCTCTGCCCTAGTTTAATACCTGTGCCACACAGTCACTTTTTATCGTGATCAGGGCAATCTGGATCAGTTTTGTTGATTGCGAACAACTTAATAGCCGCTGCTACACGGCCCAAGCTAATCCGGTTCGAGTTTAGGTCATATGAAAATACCCTTGGTAGTGATTGTGTGCCGCAAAACATGCCATTAACAAAACTCGGCGGACGGTATATCTATGGAGCTCTTTATCAGCAGTGTTATCTGTGTAAAAACCGCTTGAACGCCAAAAACTTTGCATGCCACTATAATAGTTCATAAGTTCATCATTCGATCAAATTTTCTTAGCACTTACCTATATTGCTGTGTGATGCTGTAGGCCTGTGTACTCAGATTTGGGTGCACATTAAAAAACCCCAGGTGGTCGAAATTACCGGAGCTCTCCACTACGCCGTCTCTCATAATCATATGGTGGTTTTGGGACATTAAACCCCACATATCAATCAATCAAATCAATATTGCTTTGTGAGATTCTTAATCTTCGCTTCTATCTCTGATGGCCCCCGCTAGTAGCCGTGTAGTCACAGCGAAGCGTCAATCTCAATGTACACGTCAGTGTTTCACTAGCGCCTCAAGCCTGTTCCAGTCGCTCCTGCCAGCGGTCAATTACAGCCGAATCTCGATAATTCGAACTCGAAGAGGCCCGAAAATTTGTTCAAAATAAAAGAAGTTCAAAATAATGAAAGCTAAATAAAATGGAGGGCTCTCCATGCAGTGGCGCATGTGCATTGAGCTAACACACGAGGGGGAAGTTTCAGAAGACTTAATTGATTCGCAAATCACAGGACATCCGTTAATAATTGGAGGAATCGGTGATGCACATCTGCACACGCTTGCCTTGCAGCGAGTCAATCAATTTCGCACGCAGCTTGCAAAGCATTTCCACTTCGGTTTCAGCATTCTCCTGGCAAGAGAAGTTGCGCGCAGAAATGTCCAGCGCCGACACTTTCTAATGCCCCTGACACACGGGCACCCTGAAGTTCTTTAGACAAGGGGACATCTTTCGGAAAGGCGTTTGGGCGCAGTGACACACGACAAAGGAGTAACTCCTTTCCGGCAAAGATCCTTTTCGCAAAAGCAGATCCCGCATCTACTTTTCTGGCAGGAAGGGAGTACTCTCGCATACAGTGTGCATAATTTATCAATAGAAGAAAACGTGTCGCAACACTGCGGTGCCCTGTCAGTATTTTTTTGCGCTGAGAAAATGTTTTCATTTTCAGCAGCAGTGCGATTTGTTGAAAAGTGAAGGCCTATAGTCTGTCTATACTCTCAAACGCCTGCATTACGTCACTAGCGCGATCATGTTAGGGTTGGCAGCGGCAGTTGCCGTGTCGGCGACGTAGTATCTTGTAACAATGGAGTCGGAAAAGTGGCCGTCGCCTAATAACGGCAATGTGTCTTCGAACCAGCGTTCGTTGCGCACATAGGCCCACCTTTCGCAGATGATGGCTCGGGGGGACAGTGCGGAAGCAGTCAAAATGAAGCTGTTCATGACGAGTCTTTGTTTGAGGCTCATCACTCTTGCCTTCGCAGCGTTTAGCTCATCTTCGATGGAGCCAAGGGCGACAATAGTCAGGCCCACCTCAACTGTTGCTTTATCTCTGTCTCTGCGCTGAGACATCGCAGGACCACGATGAAACGCGGCACGCCGTCACTGAACCAGCTGAACGCAGCCATGTAAAAAGCACGACAAAAAACAAAAACAGCAAAACACCAACTGTTCATAGTTGCCACGAACTTAAGTTGGTGCTAAAAACGCAAAAAAGCGAAAGAAAATTACAGGTATGCACATTATAAGCCACCAGACAATAAAAAAATGGTTTTATGCTCCGGCGTCGCTGAATGGGATGTACATGCGCAGATTCTTTTTAATATTTCCAATCTTGCTGCTTCCACAAACAGCGCCATTGTTTCTGCAGCGTTCTTCTGAGGCACCGCCTAAAGCAGTAGTCCGGTGCCGTGTGTCATCAGCGCCACTCCTTTCTGCAAATGGTCCCCTTAGGCGACAAAAGGGGTTTACTTCAAAGTACTTTACTTTTGCCCGTGCTGTCACGGGTATCAAGACGACAATGACGACTGTGTAGCGGAGCCTCTCCACGTCGCAGCGCAGCGCCGCAGCGTGGTCAGCACGTGACGAAAAAGGAGGAGCGTCTCCACGCAGAGAGAAGCAGATCGGCATTTGAGAGAAAACCAACACTCCACGGCAGCTGCAGCTTTTTTTTTTTTTTTGCTCTCTTCGCGCTTGTCGTTGAAAGGAGAAGGGTAACGTGGCAGGTACGGAAGAGACCCCCTCCCCCTCAAGGCGCAGAGCCGTGCTCCGGCAACGGGCAAGGGCTGCAAAGATAGGGCCTTTTTCCTTCCTTTAACCGCACATTCATTCAACCAGCAACAGCTTTCTTTTTTTTTTTTTCTTCCTCTCTCTCTTTGCGCGCAGTGTTGGAAGGATAGAAGTCTTTATGTGGCAGGGACATAAAAGGGAGAAGCCTGACGTGGGCGCGTCACAGATCGGCATTTGAGAGAGAGCAAACATTCCACCCCAGCCTTTTCTTTCCTTTTTATTTCCTTCGCGCGCAGCATTGAGGTGTCGCAGGTGCCGCCGCAGGATTGGGCGGGGTGCTGAGAGCATTTTTCGAGCGCAGTATTTTTGAATTAACTTTTTGAATTTTCTTGTTTATTGTGCTTTCAACAAGGTCAACTAGGGGGTGCAGACAACAGCAAAATCGCGATCTCTCAGGCAGATCGCGATGCGCGGATTGCGATAATCTTGATCCCGATCACGCCTGATCGTGATTAAAAGTGACCCTGTAGCAGCACCTAATCTGGATCTTGGTTAATCCAGATCGACACCGATCGTGATTAAAAGTGCCCGTGTGAAACCAGTATAAAGCACCCATCCCGAAATCATCACAGTGAATTTCACAGTGCTAGCACATTTATTAAATTCATCAGAGCCTGACTAAGAAACCTATGTGGACTATCCTGATAAATGGCTGTAACTTTGAAACCAGTGAACCTAAATGCATGAAATTTTGTGGTTATTCAAATGGCTTCATCATTAGCCTACCCTGAAAATTTCATTAGGATATCTCGAAAAACAAAAAGTTGCCCTTCCATGGTAGCCTTCCCCCTTAAAGGGACAGTTTTCGGGCAATGGAAAAGCTGCACAAATACATCTTTCGAATTGACTTAATGAGTGCTTGAACACTAGGCTTTTGAAAAGGCAGTAAATGCAATGCCATGAGCCATTTTGGCTCCTCTTACATTTTGCACCGACTGTAGATTAGCCTCTGCAATAGAGCGTATAAGTTGTGTATGTGTCTACTTTCATATGTTCAGCTCACAGATTGAAATGCATCAATTTAAGGATAGGTAATGCATCTACTTTCATTTCCACAGTCTTCATTTGGCGTAACATTATCAGAATTTAACAAGAACGCTTACCATTGGTTACCAGATTTCTAGTGACATGAAACTTATCTGGAGCACTTGAGTTTACCAGTCATTATACCGAAAATTCTGGTGTCCGTCATCGATCAAAAAGCACTGTACAGCCATTGCCAGACTTTCTGAAGAAGACCTGCACTAACCGTTAGCGTAAAAACTGTGCCAACTTAAGGGGGAAGA